GCCCTGAAGCCCTCATGCCCCCTTGCCCTGCGTGCTGGCTGTGGCCCCCACCCATGGCCCACCTTGTCGAAGTTCCTCTGCTTCTTGTCCAGGGCTGCAGCGGCCGCATTGGAGCGCTCCACGTCCACCATCAGGTCCTCAATCTCGTTCTGTAGCCGGTGCTTGGTCTTCTCCAGCGAGGAGCACTTGGCGTTAACGGCCTCCACAGCCTCCTCAGCGTCCTGCAGCCGCTGGGCCAGCTTCTTCCTGCCCAGGTGAAGGTGGAGGGTGTGTGTGTGACTCCACTGGGCAACAGTGGAGCTTTGGGTGGACCTCCTCCCACCCCCTCCCTGTATCTCCTTAAGATACGATAAGTCCAGCCTAGAGGGAGCTGAGCCTGCTGGCGCCTGAAACAGAGTCCACCAGCATGGGCTGCCCGGGTATCCTCCCTACCTGCAGTGGCATCTGGGTGTCAGTGGCCCCTGCCCTTGCCCTCTACACAGGCTGATCGACGGTAGCTCCTCTGACCAACAAGCTTTTTGCTCGTCTTATACGTGAGCATCAGGTATAACCCGGGCCAAAAGCTCGCCCGTCACAGGAAGTGGGTCAGGGCCAGCCAGGTTCACAGAGCAAAGGATCCAGGCTTTCTTCCAAGCGCCTCTGTTGCCCTCTGAGTTCCTCCTGTCTCTCCAGCTCCTTCTCATGATCACTCTGCCTATCCCCACCCCAGGTCCTCTCGCTCCTTCCTGTCTGAGAGCCAGGTTAAAGGGGCATCTGGAGCTCACTTGGCCTCCTCGAGCTCCTCAGTCCGCTGGATGGCGTCCGTCTCATACTTGGTCCTCCACTGGGCCACCTCCGAGTTGGCCTTGGACAGGACGCGCTGCAGCTCAGCCTTGGCCTCCGTCTCCTCCTCGTACTGCTCCCGCAGCAGGTCACAGTCATGCCGGGCTGACTGCAGTGCATGGGCCAGGGCATTCTTCGCCTGGGGAGGGGTGGGCACCAGGAGGTGGGCTTAGCTTTCTCCATTAGGCAGCCCTATCCCTTACCATTCTCCTCACCCTAATCTCAACATCCTCCCTTGGCTTTATCCATGTCCAAATCCCCAGTGGACCTGGAATGGTTTATTGTTAGATAATAACACAGAATGCCAATGCAGCACTGAACTATTTAAGAAAAGCTTCGTGGCCATTGGCCCTGAGCTCCTTCCCACACCAGGTATGGTCATTATCACTGGGGTTGGGAGAGGGAAACAGGCTCAAAAGGTTAGGGGACTTCCCCAAGATCACTGAGCTGTAAGAGCCAGGTTAGTGTTGAACCCTGGTGTTTTTTAAAACTCATATTCTTTCTCCTTTTTCATGAGCCCAGCAAAGTGCTAAGAATAGGCTCCAATTTAAATTCTTTCTCCAGTTTTCAGGTTGACCCATCTGTGTGGTCCCTACATCCCCTAGCTATGCCTAGGCAAGACCATCTCATGTCTCCCTAGTTCATTTCCTCTCCTCCTCCCCACACCCTGCCTCTTGCCCAGGGATGCAGCAGAAGGCAGAGGGCCTCAGCCTGGGGAGTAGAAGGCATGTGGCAGGGTTTGGGCTATGACTTCTTTTTAGAATTCTTGGAGAACTGTGGGTACACATAAGCCTTATTCCTGAGAAGGGGAGTGATGTCAATGCAAGGCTAGTCAGTGTGCTCCTTGCTTGGGCCAGGTGGCCCGAGGCTAGCCCTTACCTTAACCTCCTCCTCCAGCTGCCTCTTGAGGTCCTCCAGCTGCTGGGTGTAGGTGAGCTTGCCTCGAGTCAGCTGGGAGATCAGTGCCTCCTTCTCATCCAGCTGCCGGGACAGCTCACCTGGGGAAGCACCGTTTGAGATCAGCCACTCCTCTCTATCCCTACCTCCTCCCCTAGTACTCAGGCCCCATTCTCTGGAGAGACTCTGTGTCTGTGTGTGTGAGCAACCAAGGCTGGAGTGGCTCAGGAGGTTGGGGAGACAGGTGGGGTCCATGGAGCCCCTGCTGTAGGCTCACCATTCTCGGTTTGTAGCTTGGCCCGCTGGCTGGTGAGGTCGTTGACAGAACGCTGGGTTTCCTCCGCCTTGCTCCGGTGCTCATTCATCTGGTCTTCCAAGGTCCGGCACATCTTCTCCAGGTTAGCCTGAGAAGGGAAGGAGAGTTATATGATGGATGGTGGGGGGAACTGAAGGAGGTGTAAGGGGTACAACTAAAGGAGAAAAGAGGGAAGGTGTGGAGGCAAGGAGGGCATCTGAGAACCAGGCAGAGGAAGGGAAGTGGGAAAATGAACCATGAAGGAAGAGAGAAGACATGGGGAGAAAGTGGAGATGGGAGGAGGAAGTTGGAGGAGGAGAGGCTGAGCAGAGCCTGCCTTGGCCTTGATGATCTGTTCCATGTTGGAGGTGACATCGTCCAGCTCCAGCTTGAACTCGCTCTTCTCCTTCTCCAGCTTCTGCTTCACCCGCTGCAGGTTGTCGATCTGCTCGCCCAGCTCGGCCACGCTGTCGGCGTGTTTCTTGCGCAGAGCCGCAGCAGTGGCCTCGTGCTGCAGCGTGGCCTCCTCCAGGTCCCGCCGCATCTTCTGGAACTCAGCCTCACGCTTCTTGTTCATCTCGATCTGCACGGATGTGGCCCCACCAGCCTCTTCCAGCCGCTCGCTGATCTCCTCCAGCTCCCGGGACAGGTCTGAGCGCAGCTTCTCCACCTTGGCCCTGGCGGTGCGCTCGGCCTCCAGCTCCTCCTCCAGCTCCTCGATGCGCGCCTGGGCCAGACACAAAGGGCTCAGACCTACCGCCTGGACCCTGCTGCTGGATCTCCCCCTCCCCCCGGGCTCTAAAAGGCTCTCGGCTTCTCTGGAACAGCAAGACAGTTTAGCTCTTCCAGTGGAGAGGTGAAAATTGAAGGATTTGGGGAAGATGCTTTGAAGAGCTGAGCTGGCCTTCCTTTTGGCTAGGGCATGACAGTCTGCACGCTCTTTATTGGAAGGAAAGTGGTTGAAACCTGCTCTTAAAGATGGACAACGAGACCTGTGTTCTGGGGATATTTTAAGCAGTTTAGTCACAAAAGAAAATAAGAAAAGTTGAAAATGAGAGAGCCATATTTGTCTGACCTGACAACTAAAGACCTAACACAGCTTCTGCTCCAGAGGTAAGAACTGAAGACATGCCATCAGAGTTGAAGGGCCCTTAAAACCCTCCAGGTAACAGGGAGGGCATGGAGACCCAGAGATCTGGAGTGGGCTCCCAGTGGTCACCCAACTAAAGCAGAGCTGAGACAGGAAGCTGGGATTTCTGCCCTCCAGGACTGTGACCTTTTCAGGGTCTCTGTGTATCACCTGGGCCCTTCTGGGTGTACCCATGGGGACACTGTGATAGCTGCATGTCTGCCTCCATGGGCAATAATTAGCCCCTGTAATGCTGTGAACAGAACACCCTAGAGGAGGGGGCAGGGGAAACAGAACCAGCCCAGGGACCCAGCACTCCATGTGGGTTTCCAGACCTTACCTGGAGCTCCTTGAGCTTCTTTTGCAGCTGGCTGCCCAGGGCCTGTTCATCCTCAATCCTTGCATTGAGAGCATTCAGCTCAAAGTCTTTTCTGTGGGGAAGGAGGGATGGTGAGGCAAGGGAGGCTCGTGGGTCCTCAGGAAGGTCCACTAATGGTTGGAAATGGTAATGAAACAGGTAAAGAGTAGGATTTCATCAGAAAAACAGCTTCTGGGGGTGATGTAGGATCTCTGGAGGTGTAACACCTGCCATAGGATTGAAATCCAACAAGAATGTAATGGGAAGAGTGCTGTAGACAGGCTGATGGTTCTGGGCTCTGCAGGATATTCCCATCTTTGGTCCCTGTTTTCTCATCTGTAAAATGAGGGGACTGGACTAGATTGCTTCAAAGATCCCTTTTAGCTCTGATAGTCCCTAATTTTGTCACTGTTGCTTTGGGTAACTCAGCTAACCTTTCTGAAACTTATTTTCCTCTTTGGTAAAGTAAAATTAAATATACCATCCTTAAAAGGTGTTTTGAGAATCAAATGGGATCGTGTATTCATTCATTTATTCAACACATTCTGTACCCAGGAAGGTATGAAGATTCCTGTGCAAACACAAACTTGATGAGGATGTAGATTATGATGATTCTCAGAGCCTTTCAAAGTCCTGAGCCTGAAACACCATAAGATCTTCAATTACCAAAATATGTTCTGCAAGCTCACTGTTTACCAAGTCTGGAAAGTCTATACATTTTGGAAGAACTTGCACTAAGAATTAGAACCACAAGTTAAGCAAAACAAAGAAATGGCCCTGATCCCCTGACTTCTTGAGCATGAGGGCATTTCTTGCTGCCCTGTGGGCTCTCTGTGAAAAGCCACAAAGGGACTTTCCTAAGAGGCGCTTGTGTGGCACCTTCCTCCATGTCAAGGAACTGGTTTTCAAAGAGAGTGTGTGTAAAGGGGGAAGGCTGTTATTTTCCTTCCCACTGAGTGCCTAACACAAAGAAAAGACTCAAGGCATAAAATGGACCTTTTGCCAGGGAGGACTGTCTAACTAACCCTGATATCTAGGTCTGGGGGAGGAAAGCCCTTGTGTGGGAGGCCTTTTCCCATGGTTTGCACCTCTGCTTGTGGAGGCTGCATGAGGTTGTTGCCTCAGAGGATGGCTCTCTTGGGTCTGCTTGTACTGTTATGGGCTGGGAGGAGGAAGGGTAGCAGGGAAGGGACACAGTACTTTTTCAGCCGCTCATCCAGCTGCTGCTTGTCATTCTCCAGGTCCATGATGCTCTCCTGTGTCAGCTTCAGGTCACCCTCGAGCTTCCGCTTCGCTCGCTCCAGGTCCATGCGCACCTTCTTCTCTTGCTCCAGGGATCCCTCCAGCTGGTGGATAGAAGGAGCCAGGCCCAGTGAGGCAAAGCATCCTGACTTGGTGATTCTGTTGTTCAGTTACCCCAGGACTTGGTAAGTCCTGGTGGTGAGGACTTGGGAAATCTTCCCCAGAGTGGGCCAAATGTTGCCAGGGGACTATGAGATTGCCTAGATATAGGGGATGCTCAGTCAATATTTGACAGACAAAGGAATGAATGATTGTGGGATAAAACCCCAAAGCCGTATTCATTCTTTCAGTATCCTGTAAACACCTACTGGGCATCAGGCTCTGTGCTAAGCACTGCAGTTCCCAAATTGAATAGATCCAAGTTTCTGTCTAAAGGAAGCTTATAGTCTTGTGGCTGAGATAGATGCTTAAATAATTATAATAGAGAGTGATAAGTGAGTCAACAGACATATGTGCATCAGAGGGAACAATGATCAAATTTTGCCTTAAATATTGGAAGTTCAAAGATCCTTCTTGGGGAGCATCACAAAATTTCCAAATAAATATGTCATGTTCTTTTGAGATAATTCTCTAAATCCTATGTCAAAGGCAGAGGTATCTGGGATTGAATTTAAAAAGAAAACTTATCTGTACTATTGATCATACCAGTAAAATTAGATACATAATTCAGAATTGATCACCACCTCTGACTTTTCATTCCCCAACTCCCTTCTAGGAAGATACCAGGAAAGTTAACATCCTCTAACCCCACCCCCCTCCACACACACACACACACACACACACACACACACACACACACACCCTCTGGGCGCAGATGGACATGGCATATCTAGGCCCTACAACTGTCAATGTACTCACATCATCCACTTGCTGCTCCAGCTTGACTTTGGCCTTAGTCAGGGTGTTGACCTTGTCCTCCTCGGCCTGAAGGTCATCCAGGGCCTGCTGGTGGGCCTCTTGTAGAGCTTTCTTCTCCTTAGTCAGCTTGGCGATGATCTCATCCAGCCCAGCCATCTCCTCTGTCAGGTTTTTCACCTGCCGACCAAGAATCCCGTCTCCTTTAGGTTCAAAGGTCACCAGCTTGGCACCATCTATGGGGAGCTCCATGCCAAGGACCATGTTGCTCTCTGGATGCCAAGTGGCCAGCCTGGGTCAAGGTCAGTATGGTCGGGGAGTCCTGAGGAGACCTGGGCCAGCCACAGGGAGCTGCGCTCACCTTGTTCTCCGTTGCATGTTTCTCCTTCTCCACCTTGGCCAGTGTCAGCTCCAGGTCATCAATGTCCCTTTTGAGCTCTGAGCACTCGTCTTCCAGCTTGCGCTTCTTGGCAGTGAGCTCAGCATTCATCTCCTCCTCGTCCTCCAGCCTCTCATTCATCTCCTTCACCTTGGCCTCCAGCTGAATTTTGTTTTTGATCAGCTGGTCACAGCGCTCCTCAGCATCTGCCAGGTTATCTTGTTCCTGAGGGCAAGAAACAGAGGGGAGGCTGTTCGGGGGTCAAGGTCCTCATTTTTGGAAGTAGAGGGAGGGAGAGGCACATCCCTCAAATAGGAGGGGAACTCTAGGATATCCCCAGTTGCCAAGAGCTTCAGAAGTGTGGGGAGAAGATTCTTAGGGCAGTGTGACTTGGGAACATTGGGGAGGGGAGCAGAGAGGAAAGGAACCAGAAGTCTTCATCTGGACCTCTTCCTCTAGTCTCCTCCATCGAAGAGAGGGAACTGCATTTGCTGACACCAAGCACTTATATATGATGGCCCAATGAAATGGACAGATTTATTCCCTGTCTAGAGGAAACTGAGGCTCAAAGATGCTGGATGGTTTGTCCAAGGACACAAAATTATTAAGCTATGGATCTAGGTTGAACCCAAGTAGAAAGCCTGTGCTTTTAAGTCAGCTCTTTTCCCTCTTCCCTTTCCTCCTCCTGAGTGACCTCTTTGGAGGTCTTTGGAAGTACTGATCCCAGAGTCCTCTGACTGAAGGAACAAGACAGTAAGTCCCTGTGCAGGGAGGTGCAGGGTTGTGGGAAGCGAAGGCAGAGCAGGATAGAAGAGCCAACAGTAGCCCAGGACCCTCACCGCCTGCACTTGGAGCTGCAGGTCGTTCTTCTCCTGCAGCAGGGACACCATCTTCTCCTCCAGCTCCTTGCGGCGAGCCTCGGACTTCTCCAGCGCCTCTTTGAGGCGTGCGAACTCCTCCTTCATGGTGGCCATCTCCTTCTCCGTCTCTGCGCTCTTCAGCAGTGGCTTGATCTTGAAGTAGAGCTTCATCCAGGGCCAATTCTTGACCCCCATGAAGGCTCGAATGTTCCACTGGATTATCAGCAGGGAGTCTCTGCAGGGGCCCATTGAGAGGAGTGCTGAGCCACCTGACTCCTTCCTACCTGAGGTCCCGAAACCTTGGGAATGTCCCCTTTCTTTCATCCCTCCCATCGTCTCTGAGGCCCTCTGACCCTATGACTGCACTGAGCCCCTCCTGCAGGTCTCTCTGTTTGAAGACCCCCTGAGCTGTTTTTCTTAACACTGCCTTGAACCAGCCTGGGCCTCGGAGAAGCAAGAAACCTCCTCTTGAGATCTCTCACCTACGTTCCAGCAGCTTCTTGTACTCCATTCTGGAAAGCACACCCCGGGACTGGGCCTGGATGCGTGTGATGATGCGGCTCAGCCTCTCGTCCCGCATCTCCTCCAGCAGCCCCAGCAGCCCAGCCTTGAAGAACACCTGCAGGCAAGGTGTGTGTTGGGCATGACTCGGGAGGGGCACGAGGGAAAGAGGTGGTAGAGATTACCTTAGGAAGGGTAACAGCTTAGAAAAGGATTGTAGGGAGGAGGTCAATGGCAGCTGGAGCTGGGATGAGGGGAGTGGTGTTAGATGCTCCACTGGGAGGGGTAGCATACAGGTAAGAGATTTTGCTAAGACAATTATAAAAGGAAAAGCATTATGAGGAGAGGAGTCAATGGACAAGAGATGTCTTCCTTTAATTAATTAGTCTCCTTTCCTCACCTTGGTGTGGCCAAACTTGTACTGGTTGTGATCGATGTCCAGGGAGCTGAGCAGCTTCTCTGCCCCCTTCCTGCTATCAATGAACTGTCCCTCAGGGATGGCCGCTGGGTTCAGGATGCGATACCTGAGGAGGGAAGTGTCCAGAGTCAGTCGTGCTCTGCACTGATCTGCTCTGCCCACAGAATTCCAGAGCCACCTGCAGACTCCTGTTCCCACTAGGGCAGCCCTGGCTCCCCCTGTTCTCTGAGCCCTGGGGCGCCCTTATACCCACCTCTGCCGGAAGTCCCCATAGAGGATGCGGTTGGGGAAGCCTTTCCTGCAGATGCGGATGCCCTCCAGCACACCATTGCAGCGCAGCTGGTGCATGACCAGGGGGTTGTCCATCACCCCTGTGCCAGGAGGGAAGAGGGAGGAGTCTGTGAGAACACTGGACTAAAGTTTTGGGTTCTGATCCTGGCTCTGTCACTGATTAGCTTGTAATCTCAGCAAGTCAGTTAGTATTGATCCTTTATTTGTTTCATTTTTATCTAGCCACTTTTTTAACCAAAAGTCTTTCACATTTCTTTTTTATATGATTTATAAGTATTATCATAGGTGGTGGCCAGAACAGATATATCCCATTTTCTAGATGAGTAAATTAAGCCCAGAGGGGTTATGGGACTGGCTCAACGTCACTAAACCTATCAAGAACAGAGCCAGGTCTTGAACCCAGGTCCCTGAGCCTCTGTCTCCTAATCAGCCAAAAATGGATAAACAATTTGTATATGTCTCACTGGGGTCTGTAGGGTCACTGATGAGGTAATGTATGCCACAGTGCCTTACACATTACCCGGGTTACACACTCGAGGTGTAAGGCAGCACTGGGATGGAGGTAGCCTGGGAGGTCTCATGGGGGATGCGGAAAGAACATGGTTTGGAAACCACTGTGGTGGTAGATGGGCAGATGCCCTAGGAAAGTTCCACTGGATTATCAGCAGTGCAGATCCCAGGGCAGTGTATGCCCACAAGTGGGCTGGGCCAAGTTTGTGGCCTCACCTGGAGACTTTGTCTCATTGGGGATGATGCAACGCACAAAGTGAGGATGGGTGGAGCGCAAGTTGGTCATCAGCTTGTTCAGATTTTCCTGTGGTCAAAAAAGAGAGAAAAGTCAATGCAAGAAAGAGATGCAGGAAGGAGACAGGAGAAGAAGGAAGGAAAAGAGAGATGGAGAGAATTTGAGGAGCCACAGAGATGAAGGAGCACTGGGGGAAGACACAGATGAGGAGAGAGGGTGGGAGAGAGGAGAGAAAGGGGAGAGAAGTGAGGGGGAAGTGAATAAGCGAGGAGGCCAGGAGATGACAGGAAGAGAAGACAGAGTGAAAACAGTCACGAATGCACCAAAGAGATAAGGGGCAGGAGGAGTAGGGGAAGAATGAGGCAGGGAAGGGTGGGGCTGGGTGGGGTTGGATTGATGGGGAGCTGTGCTGGCTGGCTGGGGCTGGGTCTCACTCACCCTGTGCAAAGCTGACACAGTCTGAAAGGACGAGCCTTTCTTGGCCTTGCCTTTGCCTTTCTCTACAGCTGCAGGAAGGAGAGTCAACAAAAGAAGCATCAGTGTGGGGAGGTAAGGACACAAGAAAAAAATCACAGCCCTTCTTTACATCCTTGCTGGCATTTGGCCCCTGGGTGAGGGCCTTCAATATGGCTGCCTCAGTTTCTCCACCCAGTTTCATCCCACTGAGTCTGTAAACCTTGGGGTACAACCTGACATGGAAGTGGTGGGGTGTAGCAATTGACCTGGCTCAGAACCTTAGCAGAATCCCTGCTCCTCCATCCCGGCGGCCTCAGTCCCTACTTACGTGCATCAGCTCCAGCATAGTTGGCAAACAGGTTGCTGAGCAGCTTGAGGGAGGATTTCTGGTACAAGGCCACGACAGTCTCATTGAGAGGATCCTTGTTCTTCTGCAGCCAGCCAATGATGTTGTAGTCCACGATGCCGGCATAGTGGATCAGGGAGAAGTGGGCTTCCGGCTTCCCCTTGATGTTGCGTGGCTTCTGGAAGTTGGCGGATTTGCCCAGGTGGTTGTCAAACAGCTTGGCCTTGAAGGTCATGTCAGTGGCCTTGGGGAACATGCACTCCTCCTCCAGGATTGACATGATGCCCATGGGCTGAGGAAGCAGGGGAGAGTGTCACTGAGTGTCCTTCACACAGGTGGACATGGATTCTGCTCTATGGTCAATACTTGTTTATGGAGGTGCCCCATTGGATGTTAAGGTAGTAGGCTCAGCTCTGAGTATAGTTATCTACTGACTGGCACAAGTTCAAGGTAGAGGATTTTGTCTGATGACAGAAGAACCTTTGTGAAAGTCTAGGAATGTGGCTGCTATTGGTGCTCTATACACCACTCCACCACCCAGATTCCTGAGATGCTAGGGTTGAAAATAGGTACACTCTTATGATACTCTTATGATCCCTCCACACCACTCTCATACTTCCTAATCCTTGGATGCATAAACCAGGCACAAAAAACATGCAGGTATTGGAGGTCATCATGCAGATGTCCATCCTCCATGTGTCCACTCTCAAGCCCCTAGGAGCTCAGCTGTCCCTGGTGCCAGCCTGTCCTGGGTTCTCAGCACAACATAGGCTCTGGAACCAAGGGCTCAGGGTCCTTCAGCCCCTTCTATTTTCCAGATCATACTCCCCAGAAGGGAGAGGGGCTGCTATTTTGTCTATGGTGTTCATGTTGGGTGTGCAGGGAGAGTTCAGGTTGTGAGGCCAAGGAGGCACCTTCTCGATGAGGTCGATGCAGGCCTGCAGGTCCATGCCAAAGTCAATGAACGTCCACTCGATGCCCTCCTTCTTGTACTCCTCCTGCTCCAGCACGAACATGTGATGGTTGAAGAACTGCTGCAGCTTCTCGTTGGTGAAGTTGATGCAGAGCTGCTCAAAGCTGTTGAACTGCAGGGGGCATGAGGGGTGGGTGCAGTCAGGGAGTGGGTGTGAGTGGCCATTGGGGCTGTGCCCGTGCACTGTGCCCGAGCCCAGCAGGGCGTGGCTGGTCCCCTCCATGTCAGGGCAGTGCAGGAGGGCTTCCCCTGAAGATAGGGACAACGACTGCCTCTGTCACCACACAGTCCCCACTGCCTTCCCATGCCTGGTCCACAGCTGGCTCTCAGCAAATGGCTGTTGAATGTGGGAGCAGGCGAGCGATTGTTCTCCTCCCAGGGGTCCCCGACTCACGTCAAAGATCTCGAAGCCAGCGATGTCCAGGACTCCTATGAAGTACTGGCGTGGCTGTTTGGTCTCCAGGGTGGCGTTGATGCGCGTCACCATCCAGTTGAACATCTTCTCGTACACTGCCTTGGCCAGTGCCCCAGTGGCATATGCCACCTGCAAGGTAGGGGGGACACCCATATTGAGCGAGGTTGTTGGGAAGAGTGAACTTGAAAACTCCCACCACACCATGCCAGTCTCCCTACCCTGCCTACCCATTATCATCTGAAGATGGACCCACCTGCTGGACATTCTGCCCCTTGGTGACGTACTCATTGCCCACTTTCACCCGAGGGTGGCACAGCCCCTTGAGCAGGTCAGCTGAGTTCAGCCCCATGAGGTAGGCAGACTTGTCAGCCTCTGGAAGGAAAAGGCAGGCAGCAAAGTTGGTAAAGAGATGACTGCTGGCTGGGCACGATTGCTCATGCCTATAATCCCAGTACTTTGGGAAGCTAAGGTGGGTGGATCACTTGAGGTCAGGAGTTTGAGACCAGCCTGGCCTACATGATGAAACCCCACCTCTACTAAAAATATAAAAATTAGCCAGGCATGGTGGCATAAACCTGTAATCCCAGCTACTTGGGAGGCTGAGGCAGGAGAATCGCCTGAATCCATGATGTGGAGGTTGCAGTGAGCCAAGATCATGCCACTGCACTCCAGCCTGGGCAACAGAGCAAGACTCCATCTCAAAAAAAAAAAAAAAAAAGAGTAGATATGGCCCTTAGTGACTTGACGGCTGCCCCCAGTATCCCTGCCTCCCACCTTCCGTGCCGTCCGGCTCCGCCTGCTCCTCCCGCTGCTTCTGCTTGAACTTCATGTTTCCAAAGTGCATGATGGCGCCTGTCAGCTTGTACATGGAGTTTTTCTCCTCTGGAGTGAAGCCCAGCACGTCGAAGGCATTCTGTAGGCAGGCCCCGTATTGGTGGACCCCAGAAAAAGAAGTATGTTGGGTAAGTGAGATCTCTTGTAAGTTGTAGAGAAAACTTGTCTCCTTAATCCCTGTGGGTTCTGAGACTCCCGTACTCAGTGGGGAACTCCAAAACAAAGGATGAGAGATGCAAGAGCAGAGCCAATGTCAGCCAGCCCCAGCCCCAATGTCAGTGGCTATGGCTTTTCTGAGTTACCCACTTATGCTTCTAGATCCTACACTTGCTTCCTGCCTGGCCTTCCCTACCTGTCTGCCTCTGTTCCCTGAACATCCTGCCCAGCCCTATGCCGTCTGCATGGCCTTCCCTCCCCGTCCTGCTGCCTTGGTGATGCGTGTTTCTTGGCTTATGTACCTTTCTGTCTCATGGCTTTCAGCCCTTCCTGGTTTGATAGAACACCAAATACTGGCCAGTCCTGTCTCGCCTCATCCATACCCCAGTACACCCTGATCACAGGGCACATTCTGGCACTCAGGAGGTCCATACCACTTTAAACAACTGACGGCCAGTGTCTTAGCTCTGCTTCTGGACCCCTGTTTGCCTCTCACTGCCAATCGTCCCACCCCCTGGCTGGGTTCTCACACACTCACATCAGTGGCCATGAGCTCCTCAGAGTCATCAATGGAGGCCACGGTAGTCTCTCCTTGGGAGATGAATGCATAATCGTAGGGGTTGTTGGTGATCAGCAGCATGTCTAGGGGGAAAAACATGATTAGAGTAGGACACAAGCCCCTGGCTCACATGTGGGCTGCTCACCACAGCACATAGCTGGAGGAGGAGCACAGGGCAGGGCTTGGCTTAGCCCCATATCCCACTGAACTGAATCCAGCAGTGCCCTGAAGCCCAGGGCATGCCAGCTGAATCCAGCCGCAAGCAGAGGGGACCAGGTTGCCATGGAGATAGTTGGTCTCAGTCGGTGGCTCTGACTCACCCAGCAACTCAGGCTTTTTGTTAGACAGGATTTGGTAGAAAATGTGATAATCTCTCTCTGCTTTCAGCTGGAAAATAACTCTGGATTTTTCCAGAAGATCTATAAACAGGTGGGAGGAAGAAGGAGAGAAAGAAGTTAGGATTTGGGCACAAGGAAAATTAACGATAAATGTAACAAGCAAAAAGCAGAGGGAGAGGAAGAGCCGGAGATACTGGTTGGACAGACACAAAGAGATCACACTGAGAGATGAAGATAGAGACCCAGAGAGAGAGAAATAGTCTCAGAGAGAAGTCCCAGAGAAAGACACCTAGCCATGTGGAAACAGAGATGGAGAAAGAACTCAGAGGAAGTCTCAGAGAGAGACACCTACAGACAGAGATCGAAAGAAGAGAAAAACAGAGGGAGGGAGGGAGGGGAGAGAGAGAGAGGTCAAGACCAGATGGTCTAGAGCAAGGTGATCTTAAGCTGAGGCTAGCAGATTCACAGCACTCACAGGTTTCTATGTCTGCAGATGCCAACTTTCCTGTTGCCCCAAAATGGATTCGAATGAATTTCCCCTGGAGAGATGGAAGAGGGTGGTGATGAGTCTGGGGAAGGCTCATATTTGAGGCCATCCCTCCACCAGTCCAAGTCTCAAGCCCAAGTTCAGGGACCACTCACGAAGCGGGAGGAGTTGTCATTCCGGACAGTCTTGGCATTGCCAAAGGCCTCCAGAGCAGGGTTGGCCTGGATGATCTGGTCCTCCAGGGTGCCCTGCTGAGGTTGAGAAGGAGGCAGGTGAAAGCTCTTCCTCCTCCCTGTCTATGGCGCAAGACCTTGGAGGGCAGCAGGCCTACCTTGCCCGGGTTCTGGTCCTTCTTGCTGCGGTCACCAATGGCTGCAATAACAGCAAAGTACTGGATGACCCTCTTGGTGTTGACCGTCTTTCCTGCTCCGGATTCTCCACTGTGGAGACAGTCGGGGCTTATTGGGCAGTGAACAACGCTGCTGGAGACCAGCAAGCCTCAAATCAGAAGAGAATGCCTAGGCCTGCCCGAGAGTAGGAGCCCTGGGCAAGAAGCTGCCAGGTAATCTGCACCCAAAATCCACCATCCTTCCTGGTGCCACCAGAAGGCCCTGGTTTGGGCAGGCTGAGGTGCTTGGCTGGGAAAAGTAAATGGAGGAGATGGGCCTGGGCTGTTTTGGAAAAAGTGGGTGGGGCTGGAAAAATGGAAAGTGTTTCTGAAGGGAAAGAAATGAAGAGGTGAAGACATGGCAATAACGGGCTTCTGGATAAATGAGTGATGAGTCGGAGGAGAGTGGGTGAAGGAGTAGGAGAGGAAAAGCATGAAGGGGATGGAAAGAAAGGAAGAGGGAAAGCAAAGAAGAGCGGGGTCAGGGTAAGGGTCGGAGGAGAAAGAGATGGGCATGAGATGGAGGGGAAAGAGCTGTGAGTTTATGCCTAGGGGCCTGGGATCCCTGGTGGGACTGAAGGCTGGGATCAGGGAGATTCTGGAAGGGAACCAGGTAGCAGCTACACTCACGTGATCAGGATGGACTGGTTTTCTCTGTCTGTGGGGAGAAGGTGGGGAGGAAAGGTCAGGAGCTGCACCGGATGCTCGATGGGTCTTCTCCCTTCCTTCTCCCTCTCCTTCCTGGCCTGTCCCTGTTCCCTTCAGGAAGACCCTTCTGGGACCTCTCACCTGTCAGCATGTACTGATAGGCGTTGTCGGAGATGGAGAAGATGTGGGGTGGGGCCTCGCTCCTCTTCTTGCCCCGGTAGGCGGCCACCACCTCGGCATTGTACACCGGCAGCCACTTGTAGGGATTCACGGTGACACAGAAGAGGCCAGAGTAGGTCTAGGGGTAGAAAAACTAGCTATGACTTGCCAGTTGTGAAGCGGGAGGGCTGGTGATTTTGGGAGTTAGAGAAAGATCATAGGAGAGAAAGAAGAGAAAGGAAAACTTCTGCATGCACTCAGTCTGAGTAATGCCAGTCCCCAGGGTGTTGGAATTGAACCAAGGGTGTTGGGACGAGGTTAGAGTGTAACCCTGCCTAGACGTGAACAGAAGACACTCTTGGCTCCTGGGGTAGACACTGGACAGAGCAAGAAAAGATTCCGAGGTGGGGCCACGTGCACCACTCACATAGATCATCCAGGAGCCATAGCGCTCCTTGAGGTTGTAGAGCACCGCGGGCTCATGCAGGAAGGTCAACATGGCCATGTCCTCGATTTTGTCGAACTTGGGTGGGTTCTGCTGCATCACCTGGTCCTCCTTCACGGTCACCGTCTGCAACAGCCACACCCAACAGGCCCTCCTGTCAGCCTGGGCTTTCCCTCCTCCCTCAAGAGTGTTAGGAGTTGCTGAGTGACAGTAATGCTCAAGAGAGAGAAGGAACCAGGATCTCACAGGGAAGACAGAAGGGATATTGGGAAGGAGAGGGCTCTTTGGAGGGTCTGGATGCTTCCCCAAAGGGAAAGAGAATGGAACCATCCTTAGGTCCACATGGGGTGGGGCATGGGTGTACCCCTCTCTGTCCACCCAGGTGTGCAGGTGGCTAGAGTGGACTCTCACGTCAGCCTGACACCCACCTTGCCTCTCTCGGTCTCAGCAGTGACTTTGCCACCCTCTCGAGACACGATCTTGGCCTTGACAAATTCCTCTTTGTCATCAGGCACGAAGACATCCTTCTTGAGGTCAAAAGGCCGGGTCTGGGCTTCCAGCCGCTCCTTCTCTGACTTGCGCAGGTAGGGGGCGGCAGCCCCAAAGGCAGCCATCTCAGAATCTCCCATGGCTGTGCCTGGAGTGAGCAGAAGCTGGCTTCCTTCCTGTCTGCCCACTCTTCCCTTCCCTCCCTGGGCTCTCCCCTTTGGTGGGAGCCCCAAAACCTAGCACCATGCTCAAGAGTCAAGAGGAGTCACCAGTGAGTCCCTTCTTTGAGCTTACTCCTTAACCAGAAGAACAGCCTAGCAAACCTTCCAGGGTAAAAGAAGCAACTAATGATTGTTCAAGCTGGGGCTCTCCTAGGGAAGGAAGAGTGTCCTGAGCTCCTTGTAGGAGCAGAAATCTGATTATTTCCATCTCTAACCATCATCTGTCCCTGGACCTCTGGTCATAGGTAAGGAGCTCCTGGTAGCCAAGATGTTCTCTCCAGCACAGGGCAGAAACTAGAGTTTCATAGGCTGGCTTTGGTGCTATAATGCCCAGTCTCACTGGATTCTCAATGCCTTAGCTTCAGCTTTTCTTACCTGGGCTGCTCAAGTGTGTCTACCGACGAGGAAAGGGGCCAAGGCCTGCAGGGGACCTGAAGAGAGGGAAGTGGCTGTGTCAGGGAAGGCTATGCCCAACCTGGCCAGTCCCACCTCCCTGCCTCTCCCTGGCTCTGTCCTTCAGCATCCACCCACTTCCAGACCTGAATACCAGGTGGAAGGGGCGGTCAGCTTCTCTGGTCCCATTCTTCCTGTTTTCAAACCTTACTTCCTTTTTCCTCGAGAACCAATTCTAACAGCTAGTTCACCCCGAACCCTAATGCTCCTCACTCCTGCAAGATGGTCCCATTCCTGCTTGCACCCATCTAGTGGTAGCTTTCTTTGAGCCACCTGAGAGACAACTAATGGTCACATTTGTTCAGCACTTTCCAGTCTAAAAGCACTCCAGTGCACATTCTCTTACTCAGTCCTCACCCCATTTAACAGATAAGGAAATCGAAGTTAAGTATCTCGCTTATCTAAGAGCACATGACAATAAGTGGGAGCGCCAAAACTTGAATGCAAGTCTGACGACTCTAAAGACAGTTCTTTTCCATCCTGTCCCCATTTTGTTGTCACACTGTGGACATTCTCAGAAGATACTATGGGCTTCCTCTCATAGACACACCCATTACATAGCCAAACCCCTTCCACAAGCCCTCTGATGAACACCCACGGCTGCTGCTTGGGCACGCATCTCACATGAAGACAAGCTTCCTTCCCATACCTCAGTCTGCACCCCATCCCCATGGTGCCATATATGCCTCAACAGCAAATGTGCACATTTCAGGATGAGTGCTGTGTAAGTAGACTCACATTGCTGCATGTTCTTCAGTACACAGAGACCTGAAACATCCTACACCCCTGTGCCTGTGAGTTCCTTCTGCAGAGGGTACGCACGCTATAACAGTCATGACTCCTGGAGGCATACAAGCACCTATGCCTGCATGGATAGGGGTAGCTACACATTCCAGGCCTCACAGAATCATATGAAGGCATACACACTTCCTAGAATCCTTCTCTGCCATCATTTTTCCCTCCTTGCCAAGGGACCTCCTCGTTCACAGGCATGATCATACACCCACATCTCCCACTTGATATTTCTGTATGAGACAGTGAGGTGCATAACCCTCTCTCACATTCAGATTCTGCAGGCTTGTACACACATACACACACACGCACACCCTGTAATGCATACTGGTCTCACATGCTCAGATACAGATATCTTCCCCTGGGAACTCCTGTGGCACATACACCTATGTTTAGACCTGCATATGTGTGCCCAGTCACTGGACTTGATACTCTGCATGAAGTCCTGCATGAAGCTTGCTATTCCTAGAGGAATCCCTTCCTAAGCCTGGAGCTCCCTTATCCCAGAGGAAGGCCTCCAGCTCCCACTCCTACCTGAGAGCAGCAAGGAAAGACACAGAGCAGGACAGAGCTGTGGAGCCAGACCTGGTCTCGGGAGCTGTATATATGGGGCAGCAGGGTGCCCCCACCCCCACCTGCACCCAGTCCCTAGACGGATTTAGAAAGGGCTGTTGTCACTAGAAGCATTTCCCCCAGGCTCCCCCCCTTCCCAAACAGGGCTCCCCTCCCCCCCTTCCAGCTAGGAAACAATTGGAAGTGGTCGTCATTGTTATGGCATGGAGTGTGCAGGGTCTGAGTTCCAGGGGGCGGGGTGGCTCAAAGTGCAGCAAAAATATCTCCCAGGCCAGGCCTCACATTCCACAGCTGGCAGGAGAGGGAACTGACCATGACCACCAAGACCACAGGCAGCCAGCATCCTGGCTCTCCCTTGGGTCACTCCTGGCCTGGGGCACTCCTGGTCCTGGACACTGCTGCCCCTGCAGTCCCCCGCCCCGGGGCCCCTGCTGGCCTGGCCCCATTTCCACAGTGTTCTCCCCGCTCTTCTGGCCCAGGTCCTATATCCAACTGTAAGCTGGGAAGGAGCTGAGTGTCAGCAGCAGAGACGGGTAGGGCAGAGTTGGGGGCATGGCCCCAGGGTGGGGCTAGACTGGGGCAGCTGGAAGGAGGTTTCCTAGCCAGGTGGCAAGAACAATGACCATGGAGTTTAGAGATGGGGACTCTGGCTCAGGCACTGATTTCCTTGGACCAGCAGGCAATGTGTTGAGGTCAGTGAGCCTCCAAGCCCTTCACTTTATGGAGAGGGACAGTACATTCTTTATGGTTAGACAGCTAATTGGGGCAGCAGAATTCAAGGTGGAAAACCTCAGCAGAGGGGAATGGAGCTAAGCCTGTGGAAGGTAGCCTGGAAAGGAGGGCTGGGATTACAAAGATGTGAGGACCCCCTATGTGCAGAGGGCAGGACCCAGCTGCAATGGTCTGGAGACCTTTGCCTGACTCATGTTCCTAGCTTTGCCCTGCAGGTACTAAAGGCCTGATCCCAGAGATAGACCCTCTCAGAGCTATAGATAATACAGCTGCTTGGAGCTGTAAGGAGACCCCTAAGACAGCTGTTGTCTGGCCCACTCAGCCTCAGGTGGGGTGACCTTTGTCCAGAGCTAGAGGTGACTAGTGTTCTGGCAAGTGAGGCAGAATGACAGGACAGGAAAAATCTTCCCCTTTGAAGGCCTGAGGAACAGCCACAAAGGAGGGGAGGAAAGGGAGCTGGGGCCCGGCCTATGAGTACAGAACACAGTCGATGCCATGCTCTTCCAGCAACGGGTGTGCAAGCTTGACTGGCTCTGTGTCTAGGCAACCACTGCAAGATTTGGTGTGAAATCCCCCCTACTTCCCGAACACAGCTCTTCGGCGCATGCAGATTAGTCCATCTGATTAGCTGTCAGCTTGGAAGGAGAGAGGCAGGCCTGGGGGTTGGGTGCAGCAGGTACATTTTGAAGGTGGGGTGGGCATAGCAGGGAAGGGAAAATCCAGGAGGAGGCCTCTGTGGGGTTGCTTGGTAACGAGGCACTAAGGTACAGTCTGAGGACACTGAGCAGCTGTGAGGGGGGTGCAGGCGAGTGGGGGAGACCATGAACTGCAGGGGCTGTCTGACACTGCCTCAGCTCTGCAGTGCCGAGGTGATCCCAATAGGCTCTGCTACTAACATGCCCGGCAGGACAGACTCTGGCAGTCCCCACCAGGCCTGGCCAGGTGCCAAGGAATCAGCTCTATTGACAGAGACAGACCTTCTCAGAGCTATAGATAATACAGCTGCTTGGAGCTGGAAGGAGACCCCTAAGACAGCTGTTGTCTGAGGTTCCCTGAAGGAACCTCAAGGATTGGCAATGAAGGGCAAAAACTCCCTTTGTCCCCACCTTCCAGCTTTCCAAGCTCCAAACTGCCACCCCTCCCTGATTTCCCAGGGCTCAGGCACAGATGCCGCCAGCAATTGAGATGCACAAAGGGTTCTTGGGACGTGGTTGAGCCATTTCAAAGCCAGTGTCTTCACCATGGGCCAGCCTCCTTCCTTGGCTGGGGACTTGGGAAGTCTTTTCTACATTTGGGAAATCAATCATACATTGTTTCCCTCCTTTCGGATTTGGGAGGCTCTGGTCTATTGGTGTTTGGGTGTTACTGTTCTCCACCCCTGTGCCCCCACCCCATTGCAGAATAGAACTCACCTCCTTAACTCTAGGCTCTGCTTCGCAGCTCAGAGAGATCAGAGCGCCTGCTGTCCTGAAAGATCCTCACTCACTCCCTAGCCCCTCCAGCACCTGCTCTTGGCTACATCATGATTCTCTTTCTGCTGCTTGCTGCTGTCTAAAGACTGAGTAACTTTGCAGATTCTGCCATTCAATTAGTATTTATTGAGTGCCTACCATGTGCAAGGTATTATTCTGGTCAATAAGGACATAACAATGACCAAAAGAAAGATCCTTCCTCTGGACCTCTCTAGTCAACTGTTTGTAGAAATGGAATCCAGGCCTATGCTTTGCACACATGCACATTCCTCAGGGGGACAGTGAGGGGCTAGGGGCCCCACCAGGCAGGGGTGAGTGGGGATTGTGCAGAGTATGCTACAAAGTGATAGCAAGATAAAGGAGAGGAAAGCAAAATGCTATAAATAAAGAGAGGCTGGAGGGAGGGCCGCTTCAGCAAGGTAGACCAAATAAGGCCTGGAGTGGAAGGAAGGTGATCTGTCCCCCATCCTCCCTCCCCGCATTGTGCCAGCTTTGTCTGTGCTCTGTCACCACCCTGATCAAGTGTCAAGCCAAAACAGGGGCCATTTGCTGTGAACATGCCAGCGGTAGTTCAGAGGAAAAGTTGCTAAAATTACTCCCAGGAATTGTGAGGGAGGGAGACGGGGATGAATTAGAAGCAATGTCGGCATGGAGAGAGGGGAATCAGAAAGAAACCCCGGTACCCACAGGGAAAGAAGAAACCAGGTAGAAGGAGGCAGGGCACTTGGCACAGGGGAGGAACGAGGCACTTGTTGTTTGTGCACAGGGGAGAGGGGACTCACCAGGAGTGGAGGCTGACTCTCCCATCCGCCTGCCCCCAGAATCCCTGACCTTGGGGGGACCCTGCCCTGGCTCTACACGAGCCTAGGATTAGGGAGCTGAGCTTTGTGCCTGTCTCAGGTTTCTCTTTACAAACAGCTGCTCCTTCTTGTCATTCTTTTGTCTTCCTGCTGGCTTCAACATCTTTTGTACTTGTGCACCCCCTCCCATTCCCTGCTCCAGGTCTCTGCTTTCCGATAGACGTGGGCAGCAGGAGAGATGGAGGCTGGGGACAGGCTTGGGGCTGGTCTCATTCAGTTTGGGGTGTTTTGGGCAGGTTGATCCAGCCTTCAGGAAGTGTTTGGAGGGGCTCACCAGAAGGGAGGCTTTGTGGGGAGTGGCCAGTCTGGAGGGCCAGAGGCCTCGGAAGCATATGGGATGAACAGCCTGGTGAGCTTTGGAGTCAGTCACAAAAATCCACCTTGAAACCCAGAGATTCCATTTTCTAGCTATGTGGCTGTGTCAGTCATATAATTCCCTTGAGCCAGTTTTGACATCTATAACATGGGGATAGTCACATTTTGTTTCCAGGACTACTCAGGCCATTAGGATTGCACAAGTAAAGAGTCTACACACAGCAGACACACTGTGGGCCCTCACTGAATGGCAGCTGTTTGGTTAGGAACACAGAATTGAGGAAGCCAGGCTGTAGACAGGAGGGCCAGATGCCCTGCCATAGGTTCTTTGTCCCCACACCTCCTTCAGCGCCATTAAGTGAACTTGATTGAAGGGATGGTCTGGGCCAGAGTGGATCAGAAATCCTGCAGGCCTGGGGTCTGTTCTACCCAGACTGTGACTGCCCTTGGGAACATCATGCCAGGAGGTCAAGGTTCTCAGACTGTCCTAGACTCAGTCCAGACCCACAGCCCAGCCCTGAGCTGGGACAGGCATCACTGCCCAACTGCTACCCACTGAGCTTCCCTCCTGACAAGCCGGTGTGTGTCCTGGGGCCCACCAGGAGTTAGGCCGGGGCCAAGTGGTGACATTGGTCAGGCCACTGGATGGGAGCAGGCTGGGCGTTGGTGGCTTATGCCTGTAATTGCAGCACTTTGGAAGGCTGAGGCAGGCAGGTCACTTGAGGCCAGGAGTTCGAGACTAGCCTGGCCAACATAGTGAAACACCATCTCTACAAAAAAAAATACAAAAATTAGCTGGGCGTGGAGGTGCATGCCTGTAGTCCCAGCTACTCAGGAGACATGAGAATCACTGAAGCATGAGAATCACTTGAATCTGGGAATTGGAGGTTGCAGTGAGCTGAGATCGTGCCACTGCACTCCAGTCTGGGTGACAGAGTAAGACTCTGTCTCAAAAAAAAAAAACTAAATAAAATACGCTTTCAAGATGGGGACATGACATTTGGGCTTGAGGGGAGGGGAGGGCTTTGAGAAGCACTGAGTATCAGGATATGTTCTAGGCAATGAGAATCACAGAGTGACCAAAGGCATTGTGGGGGAATGGTGTGGTGAGTTCATAAGGACTCAGAGGATACACACCTGGTCAGGCTATGCTATGGGGTATCTGGAGACACAGGTGGAAGGAAAAAAGGTAGGGCCATACTGTTGAGGGGAAAGGGCTATATATGTGTTGAGTGACCACCTGTGCCAGGTGCACAGTGTTGTATACACATAATCTTGCACATGTGTCACTTAAATTGCATTTTATGAAAGAGCAATGGGGTTCAGAGAGGCTAAGACATTTGCTCAAGGTAAGTAGCAAATGTGGCATTGGGATTCAGACCCAGGTCTGTCTTGCTTAATTGCTTTCTATGGACTCTGCCATGTTTCCCAGGAAGCAAAATGGACAATACTCTGGAAGCAATGAGGAATGACTAAAGTTCTAAACCATGGCAGTCATTGTGATGTCTTGAAACCAGAGTTTGATGGGCCTAGCTGGGGTATTATTGAGTAGTTTGCAGAAGAGAGGCTGGAGGCAGGGAGACCCAAGAGGAGGATACAGTAGCCATCAAAGTTGGCAAGAGAGCGAGGCCGGCAGCATAAAGAGGAAAGGTAAGGCTGGTAGGCCTTTCTGAAGGAG